CGTTATTAAATTAAATTCGTTCAATAAAAAAAAAAACATCCTCGTAAAATAACAATCAAGTTTAAAAATTTGTACAATTTTTATTAAAGATAATTCGAAGGAAACCGCAAGTCGGCCCTCCTCTTGATAAACCCAAAAGAATTAAAAAACCAAAGAAGAAGAAGGAAGAAAAAATCGAAGAATCAGAAGAAAGCAAGAAGGAAGAAGAGAAGACTCCTACACAAGAAGAAGAAAAAACTGACAAAACGGAGGAAGATAATATCGAAAAGCCGCCAAAATAATTTCTACTTATTGCCATTCAAATTTAAATGTGCTTCTAATTTTATAACGTAGAATTTGATTCGCAGAAAACAATATTAACGTCCATCAATTTTATTACTTGAAAAACGTTGAAAAATCGTGACATCTGGTGACAACATGCATCTAACTAAATATTAAATATTGTCCCGATCTTTATCTTTGAAATATTTCTCACACGCACCGCAAGGAAATAAAATACTTTGATCACTTGTAACTGAGCCATATCAAATTGTAATTTAAATGTAAATACTTAATAAATGGATTTTTGCCTAGATGGCACTTTCGTCGCCGGAAGTGCACTCAAGAAGACTTTTCATCGAGAACGTATCGAAATTTATAAAAACATTTAATAACAACAAATAAAAAATAAAACTAAAAAAAAAACATTTAAAATAACAAAATTAATAATTAGCCTATCTTTTCATAGCTTCGTTACGAAAACAAATGTCATTTCAGCAGGAGGTGACTTGTCACGCATACGCGCGACATCATAATAATAATAAACATAAATATAAAAGAATAAGTTTATAATAACACTATGAGTTTATAATAACACTTAAGTTTATAATAACAGTATGAAGTGTTCGTACAACGATAGACGTTTTAACAAACAACTGTACAATTTTTTTCATCGTTTATATCTCTATTACTTACCAATCTGTTCGAGTATGATAAGATTACGTGAAGCCGACATTAGATACACACGTTTGCAATTTGTTGAAAGACGAAAGTGGAAAATGCTGATGCAACCAGCAACGATAGTTGAGTTTGATTTCCAGCATGGTTGAATGAATTTTTAAGGGGAAAAAGAATGTTGTCGTCGGTTACACGCTTTCCACGACGATCACAAGATTCGTCATATTTTGCAACCGAAATAGATTTTTTTTTTTTTTCTCTCTCGAGCCGCTTCTTTAAATAAAAGAGTATATATTTTCAATTCCATTATAGGTAAGAAAATAGTATTTACCTTCTATCTTTTAATGATTAATCTTTAAGAATTTTATGCATAGTTACCTCTTTTTGTTGGACGACATTTTTGAAAGAAAGGTCCATAATTCATTCAAGGTAAACTACATGCCTCTATAAGTATCTGTTAATTAAGAATCTGATATTTCATTTACAAAACAGGATGAAACAATCAATACTATTGCATCATAATCGATTCATTTGTAAAATGGTATTTTCTATTTAGAAAATATATTTCTTTGCAATGACATCGATGAAACGCCAAAAAATATGCTTCATAAAACGAGAACACGTTGTCGAATGTTACTGACAAATATTTTGCATAAAAGTATAACGATAAATTTCTTTCTTTATATTTATTTATATATTTACTTTCGTTAAAATAGAATATTAAAAAAAAAAAACATTTAAAATAACAAAATCCTTACAATATATACGATCTATTTATATTTCGAAAAAGATTTTTATATCGATACATAGGTAAATTCGATGGTGATCGAATTGTATATCTTGTATTGTCAAACAACATCAATTGTACACTTGGAGAAAGGAATAGCAGAAATAAAGCGAGGCAACACAATTCAATCGCAGACTCATTAATCGTGAATTAAGAGATAAAAGTTAAAACAGATTGCAGTCTGCATCTCCTCTATACTTATATGCATATGTATTTCGAATCTATCTTTAGTCGTGTTTCCGGCATAGAAAAAAAAACAACACAACTACGTACAACTTCATTCGATATCCTTCGGATATAATGTTACATTCGTGCTAGGCCATATTCCATTTCTACCATTTCGTTGCAAAACTACCTAGGTGTTTCGTTACGTTATGCTACCGCATTAAATAACAACCATCGACAATTGTTTCCTATAAATTCTTCGTGTCGGTGAATGAAAGGTAGATCGAGGCAATTCGTCGTACAGTACAACTGTTTTACGACACCCGGTACACACCCCCAAAACACTTTCTGGATCATGGACAACATGAAACAAATGCATAGTTTTACAAGTGTATTTATATTTTAACCATTGACCATCGTTAGAAATATTGTTTTTAAATATCCATGAATAAAGTAACTTCAAATGTGATTTTAAAAATTTCTGCATGTTACGTACATTCTATTTCGAATTGTTATTGCATTAAAATCTAGACTAGACTAAATTAAATGCCAATTCTTCGTTGTCATTGAATGTCGATTTACTCGAAGAGTGATCTTTGAAATTTTTACTACATTATATAAATACGATTATGTTTGACATAATTGTAAAAATTAATTCCAAAAATGAGCCATCAAAATGAGGTTATAAATGCCATGATTGTTTAATACAATTATACTATTGTACAAAAACAGAATTCAAAATAGAATTTAAGCTGAGCCTAATCTAAAAGGTAAAAAAAGAAAAGACATATCTTCACTCTCATATCTTCAAATCAAAATAGAATTTAAGCTGAGCCTAACCTAAAAGGTAAAAAAAGAAAAGACATATCTTCACTCTCAAATAAATGTGCAATTAATAATTCCCTCGTGACTATTACTTCTAACACATTCTCTAAAAAAATTACTTTTTTTTACTTGCTTCAACAAAGCGGTATATAATGTGCATGATACATTTACAATTCAGATTAACTCCATATTCATGGATATATAACAGTATAAATAAGTTCATAACGAAATCTATAAACCATCGAACGATATTAACAATAAAATGCTTAAGAATATTTTCACGTAGAATCCTATAGAAGTTTACTCCTTTAAATAAATGTATTACGAGATTTAACAAGAAACTATAGCAATAATTATCTATTTTAATTTATACATAACAAGATCTTTATGACGATCGTTTGCTTTGGTTGATTCTTAACGACTGATATTGCAATGTATTTTCTGCTATTTTATTTTCTTCTTTCTTCATTTGTAATCAACGTCGCTGTTAGACTCGTCGCGCGCCGCGTATTTAAAACAATTTAAATGGCAGTGCTGCCACCTAACAAAGGCCAGTTCCGTTATATGTCAGCACCATTTTAGTTTGTCGAGACGGATTAGTCATCTTGAAAGTGCTACTACGGTTCGATAAAATTCGCTCGGGAACATTTTAAGAACTGTTTTCCTTGGTCAATATAAAAACCGTGGTAATACAAAAGTGTTTACGGCAGTGAAACGTAACAGGCGTAACAGTTGTTTAGCAATTCTGATTTTGTTCTTCGGTATGTCAGAAGGCGAGACTACAGCGTCGCAGAAGAAACAGCAGCCATTTCAGCAACAGCCACAACTTGGAGTAGACTCAATGGCGAATATGGCATGGCAATATCCCTCGCCAAACAATATCCACAACATGTTTCCTCCATATTCAGGGTAATTATCAGCTCCACACGTCGATTTAATCGGGAAATTATCGTTTACACGTTAACGCGATGTTTTGATTTAGGAAATCTTATACGCGTTCGAAACGTAATGTACTACGCAGATAATTGATGATTTCGCTTGATGATTTCCTTGCGCTTTTGTTTGAAACATGAATGAACGTAAAAAAAGACTGTTTGTCGAATAAAGTGAAAGCGAAAAATGTGGTATAGATAATGTACACTACGAAAATAACACACATCGCAAGATGCTTTGCAATGACCTAATTTTAAATAAGCATATATAGTATAAATATCTTGGAGTTACACTTATAAATTATTTTAATGTTATAAATTTTAATAAGTAAAATACATCGTAATATACAAGTACATAATGAATAAGAGCTAAAAGATATTTCTGTGCATGTTATTAATTATTTTAATGTTCAAAGATTTTTGAAACTAATAATACATCTTTTATGATTAAGTATTTTAGTCGTATCTATGACATATGGTCATATCTTTTTGTAGGCAGTTGTATGGTCCAGGTTATCAAGGTGTACCTCATCAAGGACAGACATTCAGTTATTATCATGCAATGATGCCTGGATATGGACAACCTTTTACTCCACAGCAGATGCAACAACAGCAGCAGCATCAACAGCAGCAGCAGCAACAGCAACAACAACAGCAACAGCAACAGCAGGACAACAATCAAGGAAAACAGTTACATCAGCAACCGCCAGTACCTGGAACTCCAATGTCTTTAGATGATGATTCTGAACTTCCTCCTTTACCTCCTGGACCTCCGCCATCTGTGCAGACATCTCAGCAACATAACAATCAAGTACAACCATCCTTACAACCTCATCCAGGATATATGTACAATGCATTTCCATATGGTACTTGGAATGGAATGCATAGTGACATGTCTCGTAAGTTTTTTTCTTAGATAAAAGATATCAAAGAAGTGATATTGACATTTCTATATTTTATTTTCTTGTTTCAGAATACAACAATCAAATTCGTTTCAATGTATATAACAAAAAAAATGGTTTGTCTTTTCTTTCTCCATCTGGCAATAGTGGAGCCGCAAAGAAAAAACGTAAGCGGAATAAAAATTTAGCAGCACAGTTCAACAATAGCTTTCAGGCAAACAGTTCAACGACAAATTTCGTGCCGGGTCCCAACCTGAAGACCGAATTACCGCCTTTACCTCCTGCACAACGTGAAGTAGTGGCTCCTCCTCCACCAACTGAAGAATCCCCCACTCCTACTACACCTGCTATTACAACTGTAAATAATACAATTCCTAGTGCTGGTAGCACACCAGCGGTAGGTACTCCCTCTGTTGTGACCAATCCCAGTCCAGTCGGCGATTGGCCTGACAGTTTGAAGAACTATGTAAACAGATGTTATGAAAAATGCAAAACGGCAGTGGACAAGGATCAAGTTGAAATTATATTAAAGGGAAAGATTACGCGTGCCGCGAATGATGGCTCCCTTTGGGTGAAAGACTGGGATCAAGAACCATTGCCTAGTATTCACAGTGAACGTATGACTATGACGATAAAGCCTCAAAAGCCGGCTTTAAAATTAAATAATTTGCCGAATCCGCTGATGAATGCACAGGGAGGCTTGCGCAAGCCAGGTCTCTCCACTTCACTCGGGGCTCGGCTTGGTGCGCGTCTCTCTGTGAATTATAAACGGTCAAGGTCGAAGACTAGATCAAGATCAAGATCAAGATCGAGATCAAAGTCGAGATCGAGGTCGAGGTCAAGATCGAAGTCGAGGTCGCGTTCGAATACACGTAGCCCACCATCACGAAAATACAGGCGTAGTACATCGTCGTCGTCGAACGTTAGTGATCGGGAACACGATTATAAATCGCTAAAAACGAAAAAATCTACTAAAAGCAAACAAAGTCACAGCAGCAAGAAAACAAAGAAGACTAAACAGATGAAATCACATTTCTATTCAGAGTTTGGTTTAGATACAGGAAACACTGAGGAATTAGGATCCAAGGAGAAATTACAACAACGTGCTGCAAGATTCAACGATACTATTTCTAGGACAGTCAGCAATGGTGTTAAAGATGATTCCTCTACAGACTTTGATTTTACCGGACTTCACATTGTGGGAGTATGCAAGGATATAGAAAAACCTTATTTACGTTTGACATCTGTAAGATCTTTTTCAGCGATTAAATTTATTTATAGCAATTTGTAAGATTTATTAAAATACTAACTTTTATATTACAGGCTCCAGCTCCTTCCGCCGTTCGACCGGTAAGTGTACTTCAAAATTCTTTGGCACATGTCAAGAAGCGCTGGGTGGCTGATCAGGACTATAGATATGCTTGTGATCAACTTAAATCTATTCGTCAAGATCTTACCGTCCAAGGTATTCGAGATGCATTTACAGTTCATGTGTATGAAACACACGCTCGCGTTGCTCTAGAAAAAGGAGATCATGAAGAATTCAACCAGTGTCAGACCCAACTACGAATGTTGTATCAAGACGTTGGCGGAGAAAACCGATGTGAATTTGTTGCATATAGAATATTGTATTATATTTTCACAAAAAATACTCAAGGTTTTTAATTACTTCATTTTACATAGGATATGTCGTTTAAATGTAACCCCTAAATATCGTTTTTAATTATGAGAATGTAGAAACATTGTTCAAATAAGCTTTGAGCCTGCAGCTTGAAAAACTAGAATCTCAAAGGTTGGGCTGTAAAAGTTATTTTCACTATATGATGCAATAGAAAAAAATATGTAGTTATTTGAAAAACAAACAATAATTGCATATTAACCACTTAATGTTAATTAATCATTATATATATGTATATTTTTTTTAATACTTAATATAAATTGGCTATTATGTATATAATATTTTTTGCATCCACACAATTAAAAAAGATATTTGAGGGTCGTATTTATTAAATGAGACGTTCTATATACACGTAGTATCACTGTAATATTGTTTTCATGTACAAAAAGAAAATTAATATTTTTGTTACAGATTTAACGACTATTTTAGCAGCTTTGTCAGCGGAAGATAAACATGACGAATGTATAAAACATGCGCTCCGAGTACGTTCAGCTTGGTGGTTAGGAAATTTCCATGCCTTTTTCAAATTATACACTTCTGCTCCAAGGATGGCAGCCTTCCTAATGGATTGGTTTGTTGCAAGGGAACGCAAGAACGCATTGAAGAGCATGATAAAGTCGTACGTACAAGACTCTTTAGAAATAATCATTTACCCTCTACTCAAAATATCTTCAAACAATATTTATATATGACATTTTCACAAAATATTAAGAAATATAATAGATTAAAATATAACTATAATTTAGTATTAATAGGTATATTTAATTGGTAAATTGTTAGATAGCTAATTTTAAAGTAATTTAATTTGACAACTTTTTTGCAATTTTTTATAACCAATAAAACAAATCTTTTTGTTTTAAACAACCTTCAAATATATTTCCATAAATAAATTTGACGGAAATATATTTAACCGTTTTTTAACTTTTTATGGATAAAAGTATAAAAAAGGAAAAACAATTTATTATTAATTTTCATAAAAGTTTAATATTATTTCGCAAATAAAATTGGAAGTAAAAGATTGCAAATAATTTTTTTAACAATTATAATTATACATAGATTTCTGTTACAGGACATCGTTGCTGAAAAATGACTAGTTTTGTTGTTGTTGTTTATTTTTATTGTATTATATATACATATGTTTATATATTTATACATGTGTTTATTGCACGATTATCTAATGATGCATTTCTTCTGCTGTTTAGCTACCGGCAAAATTTGGCGGTTGATTTCGTCGTAGCAGAATTGGCCTTTGAATCTTTGGACAAGTTTTATGAATTTGTCAGTGAATTGGGGTTGGTTTATGCTGATCCTGAACACCATCTAATCGACTGCAAGACAAGCAGTGGTTCTATAGGTGCTTGGTAAAAAAAGCAACGTCAGTTTTTTGATGGAAGATATACAAACAAAAACCATTGTCGTGCACATTCATAGGCACAAATCTGTGTGTATATATGCATATGTTTCCCAATTATATGCATATGTAGACTTTATATACATATGCATATACATGTGCATATATTTAACAACACATTTATCTTACTACTGATAATTCTTACCATCCCCTAATCATTGTTCTCTTCGTTGATCGACGCAGTCGAGCAACAATTTATAAATGAAAGTTTTCCCCGCAATAATTTGTACATATACGTGTCTTAATCTCAGCCCAGCGCAAACGAAGAATCCACTTACAGGCTGAAATGAATTGTACAAAAGAAATAGGATGACCGTTTTAAAGTTGTCCGCAACTACCTCAAATAGAACTCGGTATGAAGCCGATGCTCGTAGTAAATTGTGAAAAGAGAAAGGAAATGATAGAAAATTATCTTCAGAAAAACAAACACCTCTCGTTTGATCAAAACTTCAAATTCCTTCATCGATCATCGATCATGATCGATCGATTCTCCAAAATTTGTTCATGTTATATATTATATGTGTTTTTATTCTTGTGTCTGGTGATTCTATGCATCTTTTTCCAAACATTGTCTACTGAAAGGAGTTGGGATTTTTTAACCAAATTGGCAAATCTTTTGCTCTACGGAAGGACCTACATTCTATCATCATTTGGAAAGGGGAACTTTGATATTTTGTATTGGGGATTCACACGCACTCGCGAATAGAAGTACAGTGATTATTTCTACGATAAAAATGGTAAAGAATTGGAATTAACGAACATATTGAATATATGTAATTGCTAAAGGGCTTTCCGGTAAGAAATGCATTGAGGGGTTTGAAAAGATATTGGCATACTTGACAACACGCTGATGAAGAAGAAAGAGAAGGAAGTCGGGAAGATCTCAAGTTATGGCTCGTAGCGACATGAAACATCTACTCAAAGAAAGAGAAAATATTCAACGTAATGTGTTCAAGAATCTACAATTAGGAACTTCTGAGGGGACAAATGCATAATAGTATCTAATGCAATTTTCGCGTGTGAAGAGTGAATATTTTTATCTTTTTAAGTGTTTATCGCAGGACAATGTTTTTTTTTTTTCTTCTATTATCAATTCTCAAGTGTTGAGAATTTCATCTCCATTTTGATCCAAAACAGGGATACAAGGGTATAATTGAGAGAAGAAAGACATTTCATTGTACGATCACGTTCGAATATAGTGTTGTACGTAATAAATTATTTAATTTTCGGATATAATATTATTTGTTAATCTATGTTATACTAGAAAGTAGTGGATTTAAATTTAAATCCTGATTTTATTACTAATAAACACAAAACTTATCGTATGTGTATTTTGTTTCAACTATTGAACAACAAATAATTGCTAAAATCTATAACTTTTTTTCAACATCGTTAAAAATCAATACGGCAGTCGGCATATAAATCTATTTCCAATCATAAATAAGAGCAATCATATTTCATATGATGCACAATATGTATTCGGTCATTTACAACTTTAGACGCAAAGACGCGTTTTTTTATTTCAAAAAGATTTAACTAATAACTAAAAAGTAAAATCTTTGATAATAAATTCTTCTTCATGAAATCATATACATCTCCGTATAGAGAAAATGAAATTAAATCAATATGTCCTATTACACAATATATATAGTAATAACGTAATTTTTATCAGAATTATATGACATAAAAGTAAAGATTTCATTATAAAAAATACAGATTTGTTGCAATTATTCGTTGCATTGCAAATATGGAAATTGCACAAATCATGTTTTTATAAATTAATTTCCTGATAATTAAAACATTTTATTAACTTGACAATATCCAGTTACAATGTGATAAATTTGTATGAGCAATCAATGTCGTTATTTAATGCAAATTTGTTTTACTCGGTTCGGATTTTGTGCACAAACTGCCAATAAAATTGTGCGATATTACAGCTGAATTTTAATTTTTAAATTCATCGTTACACAAATGTTTAAATTAAATACGTTCCTATGTATATTTATATATATATATATATATATATATTTTTTTTTTTTCAAATCATACACATGCATGTGTATAAATTAACTATGTCGTGAAATGCATATAATAATCCTAACGTATATAACGTTATAAAATTTTGAAATTTGATATAATAAATGAAGGCATTGTCGTAACAGAAATTAAAACCTAAGATTCAACAACGTAATGTTTTTTTATTGATTCCATCAACCATTGAAAAATCTTGCAAAGTAAAACAGATAGTTATTAAATGTTTTCTCAAGTATTTCCACAAATTTCGAATATCTTTGGGAAATATGTTTGTGTAAAAATGGCTAAGATTTCGACCTCTATATCGCTGTATTGCGAATTATAAAGTGCGTAATAACTTGATGTATCACGACGTTTCTAATTATTCAATTTGTGTTTCAAGAATTATATATGGCGTCGCAGAAACATGTTTCGATTGCATATATTAATGAAATAAGCAATAAAAATTGCTCATGTAAGAAGTACAAAGAAGAAAAATAACACCCACACTCAAAATTGTAAGAATTATTCAAACCAGCTTTACTCGATTAATCAATAATAATGCAATTATTTCATTGATTTATTAAAAAAAAAAAAGTAAAATACTTTAAATTTTCAACAAATTCTAAACTTATCAAAATTTACAACAATATTAAACTGACTTTGAAATATTTTAATACTAATCGTCGCATTATCTAATTTTAATGGACAACATATATAATTCTTAACGCAAATATCGTTACCCGACATAGTACAATTATTACTTACATCATTACTCAAATAAAAAATATTAAAAGTGAAACGTACTTTCATAAAAAGAAATCAGGGTGGCTGATAATGTTGCCGGCACGGTAATTTATACGGATAGGGATACGAAACTGTTATACTGAGTGATGTTGCGTTTCAAAATATCCGCGCACGGACCTAAAACTCGCTCGAATCTTGCTCGATCGAGTTTCACACATTTCAAAGGACCTCGTGCCACAACAGTCGCTGCTCTCGGCCTGTCCAATAACAATGCAATTTCACCTATAATCCCAAATAAAATATCGTTAGCATATAATGTTCAAAATTTTCTGTCGACATTATCTTCTGTATAATATATTCAGAAGACATACCGAAATAATCAGATGGTCCTAAACGACCAACTTCCGCTGGTTCTTCACCCTCCGAACGTTGTTGGAGGACAACAGCTGTGCCTTCGACGATTATGTAAAAATCTTCACCTGGTTCACCCTGCCGAACTATTGTCTCACCGTCGTCAAATGCCACCGGTTCTAAAGCATCGGCCACCGTGAGCCGTTCCCACTTGTCCAAAGATTCTAAAAATAACAACACTTTTATACAATATACTCATAGTGATATTCTGTTAAGTTTTCATGTGGAACGGTGGGACGGTTAGTTACCTAAAATTGAAACTCTGGAGAGGAATTCTTCGTACATCTTTCGCTTCCTTATAGTAGATCCCATGAGAATTCTTCGATAGGAATCTCTATCGATACCCCATAATTTTACATCTGTCTTCGCTCGAACAGTCGCGGCACGCGGTGTCCCATATATCAACGCAAGTTCACCAAAACTTCCACCTTCTCCTATTGTTGTGGCTAATTCACCATTGACAAAGATTTCGACCTCTCCTTGATCAATAACGTAAAAATTGTCACCTTCGTCGCCTATCAACACATGACCAAAAAAAAGAAATAGTCGGATTAAGCAAGTTTTTCACACAATTTTCCCAGGGGTCGATAATGAACCCTAAAGCTATTTTTAGCACCTTGGCGAATAATTGCCTCTCCGGGTAAAAACGTGACAGGGAACATGGCGTCAAAAATGTCAGAACGTTCATTCTCGTCGAGATGAGCGAAGAGAACATTTTTGGCGATAGCTTTGCTCAAGGCAGCCATTGTTTTGTAATCCTTCGGTACGACTTTCTTGACATAACTGGTCGCATCTTCTTCGGATACCGGCTCCGCGGAGATGCCTCCTCTTCGCCTCGGAACTTGAGGGCCTTGTTGTCCAGCAGGTATGTCCTCGGTATCCTCTGGACTGATTGCGATCTGTTGCTTAGCATCGTGAGCCTGCTCCTGAAATCAATAAACGGAACCTGATCAATTTCACCGAAACGACGATCAACAATTCATCATCACGTTCGATAAAAAAAAAACATTAGTAAACAACCCAACTTTTGATAACAAGAGGCTGCCGGAAGAAGCATTTTTCGAATTTAAAAACTCTCGAGACTCGATTAAGAAGGGGGGGGGGAGAGAATAAAGGGAGAAGGAGATACCTAATTATTATCAAGTACAATCAATTGGTGGTTTCATTTCTGTACCTATTTTGTTCATTTACATTTGCGGGTAATTGAAAAATATCATACACCGATAACAAGATTGAAAACGCTGTTCACGTTTTTGCTCTACTTGCCTGTTGCACCATGTCGAAAGCTGATGTTCTCCTAGGCGTTTTGCAATTATTATCGCCGATCCTATATCTTTTTGAAAAATTCAACAAAACTTTCGCTTCTGCTATTTTACTCCAAAACGAACGACATGACCCTGGTAAGAGTCACGGTAAGAAAAACAAGTCGCTTTTCATAAGTCAATTTTGCTTAGACATGCGCAATATACAATATTGTGCCCTTCCTTTAACGAAATCACGTATTCTTAATTTCCTAGGTATATGGTACATGGTACATACACGTACGTGTTGAACATGGATAATTCGTACTGGGTGGATCACAAAAAATGTTTGTACAAAGTTATTTTTTTCCACAGAACTATATTTCATATGCTGATAAGATCCTTCCTTTCTCACATTTTTGCAATTAAGACAGACTTCTTACGTGACAAATAATACACAACTTTATTTTTATTTTTATCATTTGCGAGCATTTCCGATGATAACCAACGTTAAATCTATTTCGATCATTATTTCCCACAGTATATCACATCATCTTATTAAAATCAAACGATCACAACGGCCAACAGAATAACAAATTACAGAAAAGCCCAGTTTTGTAGAATATTTTTAAGTTTGTAGAATTCCTCCCATGATTGAATATGTCTGTGATAGATATAACTTTTCACCCATCGAAAGCAAACTGCTTATTGTGTAATTATATAAGACTTTGGATGAAATATTACATGGCCTACGAAAGATGAGCGTTGGTGAAAAGGTGGGCAAATAATGCCATAGGTCACTTGGCGTTTTTACAGATGAGTGCTCCCTCGTAAAGGCACAATATAAGAACATTGTGCCGATACTACGTGATTTTTATACCCCTTTTTGATAATCCAATTAATTTGACTGCTGAATGTTGTATATTGAAATTTAATAACCACTAAAAACGAAGAAACTCTTATTAAATAGCAAGATAAATTGAAAATCTTTTATCAAATCGTGATATCTGAAAAAGTTAGTGCAATCAGATGTTAACTTCTATCAAACTTATACCAAAAATTATCGATATTGTATTTCCAATTAAGAGCTCTTTTATTGAGAACGTGAACTATATATCTCTTTTCTCCTTATTTATTCACGAAATGTATGTTAATAAATACGTCAACATTAAGGAATTAAAAAATGAGGCTAACATTTGCACATTCATTTGTTTTATCATATTTTATGTAATTTTATTATAAAATGCAAGTTCAAACAAGCAAATTTTTTCTAGTGAAAAAAAATCAATAAAATGTATTTGAAAAATAATACAAATATTCTAAAAGACAAATATATATAATTATATATATTATATATTATATATATATGTATTTTATATATATATGTAATTATATATTTATATAATAATATGTATTTGAAAAATAATACAAATATTCTAAAAGACAAATATATAATATATATATGTGTATATATATATAATATATATGTATATATAAATGTATTTGAAAAATAATACAAATATTCTAAAAGACAAATATATATATAATATATATTATATATATGTTTTATATATATATGTAATTATATATTTATATATATAATATATATGTATTTGAAAAATAATACAAATATTCTAAAAGACAAATATATATATATATA